ACTCTAGACTAGACTATAGACTAGACTATAGACTAGACTATAGACTAGACTATAGACTAGACTATAGAGTAGACTATAGACTAGACTATAGACTAGATACTAGACTATAGACTAGACTATATCCATTTGTAATTTCAACAATATAATTTTCCGTCCCTATAAAGTATGTATATTAGTTAAGTCATGTCCGTCCGTCTGTCTGTTGAAATCAAGTTTCTGAAGACACCAGATAACTTTGGGATCCAAATCTTCATCAATTCCGTGAGACATGCTTTCGAGAAGTTTCCTATTTAAAATCAGCAAAATCTGTCCATAAATAATGGTAATTTTAGCAAAAATCCGAGACAATCTCTGAAAATTTTATAAAAAAAATGTCTAAGTCAAAAAGTATTAAAGTACTTAATTTTCCATGCCTGATGTAATCCAAAAAATTTCATTAATTTGGTGGATCTTATCTCTTATTTAATTTTTATGAAAAATCACTTCAAATGGGAGTTAAATATTGATATATTTTACGATTCCATCTAAGAAGAGTCTAAAGTACAACGACAATGGTATTTATGATTCAAATATAAACGCATTTATGACTAATTTACACTTATAGAGGAATCATAAAAAACTTCAATCAATTTAAAAAAATACTATCTGGAAAGATCCATTTAAAAAAACAGTAAGTAGTATTTAAGCATATTTTGTTAGTTAGTATCTGATAAATCTAAACTTCCTTCATTCTTTTTAGTTTTATTAACAAAAATATCTTAATATTTAAACATATTTATGTGTTTTAAAACATGTTTTTGTATGCAAAACTAGAAGTCATTGGACTTCCTTTGAAGCACGTGATATTTGCTAAATGATCGTATAAAATGTTTAAAGCCTCATTAAAAATATACTTTGTTTAAATAAATCACAACTGTTCACAGTTTCAAATGTTTAATATTTTATGATTACTTTATTTAAAATAAAACATGATTTTTATTTGTTTTAAGACAAGTTTTTTGTTTAATTTATTATGGCAAATATTTAATAAAAATTTGTTAATGTGAACATTAACTAAAGAACAAATAACACAATTTGGATTAAAATTAATCATAATTAACTCTGAACAAGCGATTTCTTTCCAAACAGTTGGCAACATTTTCCAAACTCCTGTTTATATTATAAACTTTAAAAGTTTGCGAATTATATAGCAATTTTTTATTACTTTATTTTTTTTAAACAAAGTAATAAATAATTTTAAAATTTTGTTTATTAAAAAAATTCCTGTCATATAAAATACTTCCCGTTAAATTTTTGTAATTAAACAAAAAAAAATCTCCAAAAAAAAGTATTAAATAAATAATTGCTTTAAAAATTCCTAAATCACTACTAGACAGATTTAAATTAATTGAAATAAATAAATTTAAAACAAAAAAAAAAAAAAAAACAAAAATACCAAAACAAAATAACAAATAAAAATATATATTTAATGTTCAAATAAAAGTTAATGACTTTGTTCACACTTTCAATATTATTTTATGTAAATGATTCAATTGGCGCGTCATCAATGGTTCAGAAAATCACAAATATTTAAACCAGTTTATTTGTGTGGTTTTGACGCCTTGATTTTAATAAAAATAATAACGATATTAAATAGGCGCCATTTCAATATTAATTATTAAATATAGGGATCAATAAACAAATAATAATAATAATAGCATTCCGTTAAATATCAATTGTTTTTCTAAGAACAAATTCTTTAAAATGGATCTAGTCTTAATATTAAAACGCATTTGTCATAAAAAGTTTATCTAGTTCATTTTGTATTTATAATAAACCGTTTTAATAGCCTAAATATATGGACTTTTTCGTCTAGTTTACATGCGTCAATCTTCTAAAATGTAAACAAATATAATTGCAAAATGGCGGCTATTGGAATATACATAAATTGTTATTATTTCTAGAAATTTTTTAACTTTAATATGATATTTGATATTGTCTATTAAATTAATAGATCTTCCTTTACCGTAACCCTAACATTCCAATTTGGGATATTTTATATTAATGTTCTAATTTTGTGACAAATACGCTGCAGACGTTTTTCTAAATTCGTCCTTGACCAAATGTACATCTCAGTCTAAGGGGGGTAATGGTTACATATTATAATTACTTTTAATTGTTATTGTTTTGCAATTACAAATACTTGTAATTACTTGTAATTGAGAATTTTGTTCCTTATAATTACATGTAATTTGTAATTGGTGATACCTAAATTATAATTACAAGTAATAGTAATTTATAAACTTCAATTACAAGTAATTGTTCAATTACAAATAATTGTTCAATTATAAGTAATTTTGATTGGCAAAACTTTATTTACAATTACAAGTAATTGTAATTGGTTGTTGGTCAATTAAACATTACTAGTATTTCTAATTGGAAAAACTTTAATTACAAGTATTGTAATTGGTTTATTTCTCAACTACATATTACAAAAAAACTGTAACTGCCGTTACAGTATTCTTTGTAATCATTAGGCCATCCCTAACTAAACGACTAATAACTAACTAACTAACTAAAGACTACTCCTAACGAACGAACGAACGAACGAACGAACGAACGAACGAACGAACGAACGAACGAACGAACGAACGAACGAACGAACGAACGAACGAACGAACGAAGAACGAACGAACGAACGAACGAACGAACGAACGAACGAACGAACGAACGAAACGAAACGAACGAACGAACGAACGAACGAACGAACGAACGAAAAGAACGAAGAACGAACGAACGAACGAACGAACGAACGAACGAACGAACGAAACGAACGACGAACGAAGAACGAACGAAACGAACGAAACGAACTAACGAACGAACGAACGAACGAACGAACGAACGAACGAACAAAGAAACGAACGAACGAACGAAAACGAACGAACGAACGAACGAACGAACGAACGAAACGAACGAACGAACGAACGAAGAACGAACGAACGAACGAACAACGAACGAACGACAACGAACGAAAACGAACGAAAGAACGAACGAACGAACGAACGAACGAACGAACGAACGAACGAACGAACGAACGAACGAACGAACGAACGAACAACGAACGAAGACGAAATCGAACAACGAACTAACGAACTAACGAAGAACAAAACGATACTAACTAACTAACAACGAAAACTAACAACGAACTACCAACTAACAACTAACTAACTAACTAAACTAACAACTAACGAATAACAACAACAACTAACTAACTAAACTAACTAACTAAAACAATAACTAACTAACAACTAACTAACTAACTAACAACTAACTACTACTAACTAACTAATAACTAACTAAAACATAACTAACTACTACTAACTAACTAACTAACTAAACTAACTAACTAACTAACTAACTACTAACTAACTAACTAACTAACTACTAACTAAACTACTAACGAACTAACTAACTAACTAACTACAATAACTAACTAAAACTAACTACTAACTAACTAACTAACTAACTAACTAACTACTAACTAACTAACTAACTAACTAACTACTAACTACTAACTAACTAACTAACTAACTAACTAACTAACTAACTAACTAACTAACTAACTAACTAACTAACTAACTAACTAACTAACTAACTAACTAACTAACTAACTAACTAACTAACTAACTAACTAACTAACTACTAACTAACTAACTAACTTCGGGATCGTGTACCCTGACTTTTTTGGAACTTTGACTGATGACTTAATATTTTTAGCAGCCTTTCAAAGAACAATATATGCGTAGTATTGGCCTTCATAGGGCCTCTTGGAATAATGAAACGGTGGGTACAAAGATCCTGTGGGTTGACGTAAACGAAAGAATTACCAGAAGCCTCCTCAAAATGTGCGCATCTCAGATTAGTGTGGTGATACACGTGACTACGGGCACAACTATACAAAATTGGACGTGCGGATTCAGACGAATGTAGAGCACATGGTCACTCTGGAGAGATTTCTTTGCTAGATTCCAATTCTTGGGAGGGATATATAATAATTCCATCACTATATAAGTTTTTCGTTTTTACCAACAAAATTTTTCCCTGACAAGGAGCGCACTGCACTAGATCCGAAGGACTAGTTTTATTCTGATCAACTATGAACTTAATCCCTAAATTTGTAAAACCTTGGGTTAAAAATATTACCATACAATTTTTTTTAATAAAAAGGGGGGAAGAGATTTACAAAATAATTCCCTCAAACAATTTCGTTGTCACTTTAAGAGTTTTTTATTTCAAACTCTCTTAAATTATTATACAAAATTGTGTTTAAAATTAATTAAATTAAATATTTAATATAGGCAAAAGTTCAAAGGTCTATTAAAGATTCAGTTTAAAAAAAAAATTTCAAAAATTATTTTCACTGATAACAAAATTTAGTTTAAACATTTGTACTCAATTTTTGGAAAATGATAAGACAAAATTTTAACGAAATTAGTTGTTGTTTACTAAAAACAATTGTTTATTAATAACATCCCTTCGATGACTAAAAAATGGTATTTTTCAGACAAAAAAAAAAACCCAAATTCTTTTTAAAATTAAAAAATTTTAAAACGTGTAAATTCCTGAATAATTACAGAAAAACGATCAAACGACCGCTTACTGTTATATGATCATTACATACCGGTTCTGTGAAAGAACATGAGTGACTAAAATAAGTGCAACGCACCCTTCATTTAATATTAAAATTTACATAAAAACAACAAAAACAATCTGGGAAATGTCTAGAGTCAGTTTTAAAAATATTTTGTAACGAGAAACTTCTTTTAATTAATTTCAATATTTTTCATCTTGAGCTACACCTTTTCTGTTTTATTGTGATCTTGCTGATGGATATTTTGAACTTGAACTTGCGCTGTGTGATGAAATGAAATGAAATTGAAAACGAAGAAGTTTTGTTTGATTTTAATATAATTGTTGTTGTTACTTGTTAAGCGGGAATCTTCATATTCTCATTCAGTGCAGTGTGATTATATTTATTTTGAAACATTTTTTATATAAAATAAGCTGAAATTGTGTTTCAATTAAACAGTTGTTTCAGAAACATTGCGGTGTTTAAACGTTAATATTTAAATAAAGAAATTTGGTGATTTAAGAAAATAAATTCTAAACAAAATGAAATTCGCCATTGTAATCTGTGCTTTGTGCTCCTTGATTGCTGTCAATGAGGCAGCCATTGCCATGGCCAGATTTAATAATCCAAGTGAGTGTTGTTAAAGGATTAAGTTTTAAAAACAAAGGATTAAAGTGTGATTTAGTGATTTTTGGTAAAACAAAAAATTGTTCAAAACTTTAACGCGTTTTGAGGTTAAGTTTTAGCTTCTGAATATTATGCAGTTTTCACAATGCGATCTATAGTCTATAGTCTAGTCTGTAGTCTAGTCAATAATCTAGTCTATAGTCTAATCTATAGTCTAATCTATAGTCTAGTTTATAGTCTAGTTTATAGTCTAGTTTATAGTCTAGTTTATAGTCTAGTCTATAGTGTAGTCTATAGTCTAGTCTATAGTCTTCTTTATAGTCTAGTCTATAGTCTAGTATACTCTATAGTCTAGTCTATAGTCTAGTTTATAGTCTAGTCTATAGTCTAGTCTATAGTCTAGTCTATAGTCTAGTCTATAGTCCAGTATATTGTCGAGTCTATAATCTAGTCTATAGTCTAATATTTAGTATATTGTATGGTGTAGTCTATAGTCTAGTGTATATTCTAGTCTGTAGTCTAGTCTATAGTCTACTCTATAGTCTAGACTATAGTCAGGTCTATAGTCTAGTCTATAGTCTACTCTATAGTCTAGACTATAGTCAGGTCTATAGTCTAGTCTATAGTCTAGTCTATAGTCTGGTCTATAGTCTAGTCTATAGTCTAGTCTATAGCCTAGTCTAGTTTATAGCCAAGTCTATAGTCTAGTCTATAGCCTGGTCTATAGTCTAGTCTATAGTCTAGTCTATAGTCTAGTCTATAGTCTAGTCTATAGTCTAGTCTATAGTCTAGTCTATAGTCTAGTCTATAGTCTAGTCTATAGTCTAGTCTATAGTCTAGTCTATAGTCTAGTCTATAGTCTAGTCTATAGTCTAGTCTATAGTCTAGTCTATAGTCTAGTCTATAGTCTAGTCTATAGTCTAGTCTATAGTCTAGTCTATAGTCTAGTCTATAGTCTAGTCTATAGTCTAGTCTATAGTCTAGTCTATAGTCTAGTCTATAGTCTAGTCTATAGTCTAGACTATAGTCTAGTCTATAGTCTAGTCTATAGTCTAGTCTATAGTCTAGTCTATAGTCTAGTCTATAGTCTATCTATAGTCTAGTCTATAGTCTAGTCTATAGTCTAGTCTATAGTCTAGTCTATAGTCTAGTCTATAGTCTAGTCTATAGTCTAGTCTATAGTCTAGTCTATAGTCTAGTCTATAGTCTAGTCTATAGTCTAGTCTATAGTCTAGTCTATAGTCTAGTCTATAGTCTAGTCTATAGTCTAGTCTATAGTCTAGTCTATAGTCTAGTCTATAGTCTAGTCTATAGTCTAGTCTAGTATAGTCTATAGTCTAGTCTATAGTCTAGTCTATAGTCTAGTCTATAGTCTAGTCTATAGTCTAGTCTATAGTCTAGTCTATAGTCTAGTCTATAGTCTAGTCTATAGTCTAGTCTATAGTCTAGTCTATAGTCTAGTCTATAGTCTAGTCTATAGTCTAGTCTATAGTCTAGTCTATAGTCTAGTCTATAGTCTAGTCTATAGTCTAGTCTATAGTCTAGTCTATAGTCTAGTCTATAGTCTAGTCTATAGTCTAGTCTATAGTCTAGTCTATAGTCTAGTCTATAGTCTATAGTCTAGTCTATAGTCTAGTCTATAGTCTAGTCTATAGTCTAGTCTATAGTCTAGTCTATAGTCTAGTCTATAGTCTAGTCTATAGTCTAGTCTATAGTCTAGTCTATAGTCTAGTCTATAGTCTAGTCTATAGTCTAGTCTATAGTCTAGTCTATAGTCTAGTCTATAGTCTAGTCTATAGTCTAGTCTAGTCTAGTCTATAGTCAGTCTATAGTCTAGTCTATAGTTAGTCTAGTCTATAGTCTAGTCTATAGTCTAGTCTATAGTCTCGTCTATAGTCTAGTCTATAGTCTATCTATAGTCTAGTCTATAGTCTAGTCCTATAGTCTAGTCTATAGTCTAGTTCTATAGTCCTGTCTATAGTCTAGTCTAGTCTATAGTCTAGTCTATAGTCTAGTCTATAGTCTAGTCTATAGTCTAGTCTATAGTTAGTCTATAGTCTAGTCTATAGTCTAGTCTATAGTCTAGTCTATAGTCTACTCTATAGTCTAGCTCTATAGTCTAGTAGTCATAGTCTAGTCCTATAGTCTAGTCTATAGTCTAGTCTATAGTCTAGTCTATAGTCTAGTCTATAGTCTAGTCTATAGTCTAAGTCTATAGTCTAGTCTATAGTCTAGTCTATAGTCTAGTCTATAGTCTAGTCTATAGTCTAAGTCTATAGTCTAGTCTATAGTCTAGTCTATAGTCTAGTCTATAGTCTAGTCTATAGTCTAGTCTATAGTCTAGTCTATAGTCTAGTCTATAGTCTAGTCTATAGTCTAGTCTATAGTCTAGTCTATAGTCTAGTCTATAGTCTAGTCTATAGGTCTAGTCTATAGTCTAGTCTATAGTCTAGTCTATAGTCTATTCTACAGTATAGTCTATAGTTTAGTCTATAGTCCAGTCCATAGTTTAGTCTATAGTCTAGTCTATAGTCTAGTCTATAGTCTCGTCTATAGTCTAGTCTATAGTCTAGTCTATAGTCTAGGCTATAGTCTAGTCTATAGTCTAGTCTATAGTCTAGTCTATAGCCTGGTCTATAGTCTAGTCTAGTCTATAGTCTAGTCTATAGCCTGGTCTATAGTCTAGTCTATAGTCTAGTCTATAGTCTAGTCTATAGTCTAGTCTATAGTCTAGTCTATAGTCTAGTCTATAGTCTACTCTATAGTCTAGTCTATAGTCTAGTCTATAGTCTAGTCTATAGTCTAGTCTATAGTCTAGTCTATAGTCTAGTCTATAGTCTAGTCTATAGTCTAGTCTATAGTCTAGTCTATAGTCTAGTCTATAGTCTAGTCTATAGTCTAGTCTATAGTCTAGTCTATAGTCTACTCTATAGTCTATTCTACAGTATAGTCTATAGTTCAGTCTATAGTCCAGTCCATAGTTTAGTCTATAGTCTAGTCTATAGTCTAGTCTATAATCTAGTCTATAGTCTAGTCTATAGTCTAGTCTATAGTCTAGTCTATAGTCTAGTCTATAGTCTAGTCTTTAGTCTAGTCTATAGTCTAGTCTATAGTCTAGTCTATAGTCTAGTCTATAGTCTAGTCTATAGTCTAGTCTATAGTCTAGTCTATAGTCTAGTCTATAGTCTAGTCTATAGTCTAGTCTATAGTCTAGTCTATAGTCTAGTCTATAGTCTAGTCTATAGTCTAGTCTATAGTCTAGTCTATAGTCTAGTCTATAGTCTAGTCTATAGTCTAGTCTATAGTTTAGTCTATAGTTAAGTCTATAGTCTAGTCTATAGTTTAGTCTATAGTTAAGTCTATAGTTCAATCTACAGTCTAGTCTATAGTCTAGTCTATATTCGAGGCTATAGCCCAGTCTATTGTCCAGTCTATAGTCTAGTCTATAGTGTAGTCAATAGTCTAGTCTATAGTCCAGTCTATAGTATAGTCTATTGTCCAGTCTATAGTCTAGTCTATAGTATAGTCTATAGTAGTCTATAATGTAGTCATGTATATAATGTAGTCTGTAATCTAGTATATAGTAGGGTGATCGATTATTCGACATTTTCCAAAAACCGATTTTCGAATAGTTCGAATAGTTGACATTTAAAAAAAACCGGTTGATATTTTTAAAATTCAGAAAAAACCGGTTAACCGGTTTTTCATTATAAATAAAAAAAATATATTTTAATTCGAAAAACTTAATTCTTATGTTTAAATTTGATTAATAAAACATGGCCCGAAATGATTTTTAACAGTTTAAAATATAACTTTAGATCTAGTCGTCTGATTTACATTATTTCTTTAATATAAAAAATTAGGAAAAAAGTGGGACACACTAAACATAAGGTACTATGTAATCCTAGCTTATTTTAAAAGCCCTGTTTAGGAAATTTGCATAGGCATTTCAACACTTCCATAAAATTTCAGCCGTAAATTAATTATTGTTATTGGAATATAATCTTAAGATTGATAAAATTTTATCAAACAGTTATCAATCAAAAAAGTTTAACCAAAGGAGCTGTAGAAAAATATACGCTGGTTCCTCGACTCGAATATTTTCAAAATTTAGACGGGCTGTATTATTATTTACTTAAAAATTTCATTTAAATAATCTTTGAATACAAAGCAAATAAAAGTATTCGAGACCGGTTTTTAAAAAGTGAAAAAACCGGGTTATTCGATATTCGAAAAATCAACATTCAGAAAAAATCGACACTGGTAAAGCAGAAAAAACCGGTTTTAAAACCGGTTGAAAAATTGAGTCGATCACCCTAGTATATAGTCTAGTCTATAGTCTACTCTATAGTCTAGTCTATAGTCTAGTTTATAATCCAGGCCATTGTCTAGACTATAGTCTACACTATAGACTAGTCTATAGTCATTTCTTAGTATAGTCTAAAGCCTTCTAAAGCCTAGTCAATAGTCTATAATTTAGTCTAGGTGTATAATATAGTTCCATCAGTCATTAGGGGCTTTTAAATTGTTCTCTTATATGTTACAAAGTTTTAAGCTTTTGAATTGATGTTGTATGAGATTTTTACTACCGATAATATTGAAAGTCTATCTGCCAAGTCTGTGTAATGTATAGATCCGTCAGTTATCAAGGACTTTGAAACATTTATCTTTTGTAATAGGAAATGTTTAAACCCTAACTAAACCGTTATTGGTAATATTTTTATGAGATTTTCAATAATGATAATGTAGAAAGTATATCTGTCAAGTCTGTTTATATATAGGTCCATTAATGAATGTCCATTAAGGGACTTGCAATAGTTATATGTTATATTACGAAATGTTTAAACCACAACTAAGCAGTTTTTGGGTTAATTTTTACTCAATACTAATAATCCAGAAATCTGTCAAGTCTGAGTTACATATAGGTCCATCAGTGATCAGGGGCTTTGAAATCTTTATACATATTTTATATTACGAAACGTTTCAACCATAACTGAACAGTTATTAGACTGATTTTTTATACGATTTTCAGTACTGAAAATCCAGAAAGTTTAGCTGACAAGTCTGTGTAATATATAGGTCCATCAGTGATCAGGGACTTTGAAGAAGTTAACTTTTATATTACGAAATGTTTAAATATTAACTGAGCAGTTTTTGGACTGATTTTTAAAATTAGATTTTCAATACTGATCACCCAGAAAGTAAAACTGTCTAGCCTGAGTAATATGTAAATCCATCTGTTATTAGAGGCTTTGAAATCGTTATCTTTTATATTACGAAATGTTTATATCATAACTGAACAGTTTTTGAGCAGATGTTCAATACTGATAATCTAGAAAATATATATATATTTCAAATATACATAGGCAGTTTATATGTCCGTAAGTTATCGGGGTCTCTGAACAATTTGTTTTTATTGATCAAGCAAAACAAACTAACAGAAAATGTTTCTTAAGCCAAAATTCAAACCTGAAAGTTGTTATTAAAATATTGATCCCTCAGTTAACGGAAACTTTTAAAGAAATGTTTGAAAATATAGCAAAGGTATTTTTGAACCATTTTTAGATGGAATTCTGTTCTCGTCATCAATATTCATGATAAAGGAAGTATATTTTCCAAATCTGTTGGTTTGAAATCAAATCTAAAGTGTTTTTAAAACACAACAGAACTATTTTTGGATTTGAAACGGTTAAGATTGATGATTTTCAATATAAAACGTATAACTGATACATCCGTGTATAGAACGCTCCAACAAACTTTTAAAGAAATGGTTAAAAACAAACCGGAGATGTTATTTAACCCAAAACCGTACTAGTTTTAGAAATTAATAAGAAAAATTCCATTTCTCAATAATATTTTATTGTATTTTTCTTTTCCAGCTTATCCCGGTAAATGTACCATTGATGAAAACCTTATCTTGTCGCCTGGCCAGAAGGGCAAAGCACCCAATAATCCCTGTGCTGGTATAACCTGTATGGAGAATGGTTATGCCGAATTTAGAACGTAAGTTTAACAAAACTATTAACTTTGAAAAAAAAAAAAACTAAATAACTAATTAACAAATTTACAATTACAGCTGTCCCGCTGTGGCACCACCAAAGGGCTGTAAACTACGTGACTTTGTTAATACCAATCGTCATTATCCCGAGTGCTGTGAGCGTAAATATGATTGTACTAAATTGATTTAAAAACAAACTGCTGCTGAAGCCCACAACATAAACATCATAAAAAGCAGCTGTTAAAAGCCTGACATCATGACGTATCATTTCATCTCATTTTATTTTAAACAACAAAAATAACTTAAAACATAAAGCTGAAACAAAACTCTAAAAGGAAGGTGTGTCTATGGCTTGTGCCTTGGTCATACAACTCAACATTTATCATTTAAAAGAAAGATTGTAAAAAAACGAAAAAAATAACTCACATATCATTTTTAATAAGTAGGAAGCTGTTTAAAGTTTTTTTTGTTTAATATTTAAATTGTTTTATAAGTTTAAGTTTAATGAATTTTTATTATTTATATTTATTAAAAGTAAACAAAGAAAATATCTTTAATAAAATTAAAAAAAAATCACAAAAAATACAAAATCATAACTTGTTTTTTTATTTAAAGCATCTTCTTTTTAGACACGTACAAAACAAATTTTATTAAAACAAAACAGATAATAAAAATACTTATTTGGTTATTCACTTGTTATTTTGGACAACATGTTGCTTTAATTAATTTAATTACAAAAAAATTTAATTACTTAAAAATTTCTTTAGGAAATTGTGATTCGAATTGTATATAAAAGGAATCTTTTTTGGCATTTGTTACTTCAGCTTCCAAAGCGGCGGCAATAAAGTCCCTATAAAATTTAAAATTATAAAAATTTCAATAAACTTTTCTTTTATTTATACTCTTCTACTCACTCTTCCTCTGCCAGTGTAATATTAACTCTACCCTTGGTTATTTCTGTGGGTCTTATAGAGCCAAAGAAATCTGTAATGGGCACTTTATAGGGATCTCTTTTATATAAATCTTTACGTACTCCCACCGTGGAAATGCATAAACGTTTAGGACACACCGTTAACTATAAAATTATTAAAAAAGTTTTAAAGAATCCTTTTTACTTTTTATTTATATTTAAAACTTACAAATTCTCCCATGGTTTTATCACTGTTGGGTTGCACTTTTTCCAAAAACTCTAAAGCATAATAGGTATAACGATCTATCATATAGACACCAATAGAGGAATCAACATGATGCTGTAAATGATTAATATTAATAAATTTATATAAGAAATATCCATTCTTAGTAAAATTATAAAATTAAAATTTAGTCTAAAGTCTGGGGTTTAGTCTAATCAACAATATGGACTATAGCCAGACTATAATATGGTTTGTAGACTATAGTCTAGTCTATAGTCTGCTCTATAGCCGCGACTATAGTCTGTATCTGTTTCATCAGCTTTATTCCTTAATCCTCAATCCAATGCAAAAGCCTGTAAACTAAAAAAGTACAAGTATCTGGCCAAAAGTCAAATATCTCCTTTCTATTTGATAGCGATAATAATACAGTAAGTGCAACAACCATGACTGCGATACCTAATATTCGGTGAATGGACATTCTTCAATATATTAAGAAATTGGCTAAGAGCAAAAGGAAACTGCAGAAGAAGCTTTGTGCGACAGAAAACGTTTCATAGTTATTAGTTAGTAAGTTAGTTAGTTAGTTAGTTAGTTGTAGTTAGTTAGTTAGTTAGTTAGTTAGTTAGTAGTTAGTTAGTTAGTTAGTTAGTTAGTTAGTTAGTTAGTTAGTTAGTTAGTTAGTTAGTTAGTTAGTTAGTTAGTAGTTAGTTAGTTAGTTAGTTAGTTAGTGTTAGTTAGTAGTTAGTTAGTTAGTTAGTTAGTTAGTTAGTTAGTTAGTTAGTTAGTTAGTTAGTTAGTTAGTTAGTTAGTTAGTAGTTAGTTAGTTAGTTAGTTAGTTAGTTAGTTAGTTAGTTAGTTAGTTAGTTAGTTAGTTAGTTAGTTAGTTAGTTAGTTAGTTAGTTAGTTAGTTAGTTAGTTAGTTAGTTAGTTAGTTAGTTAGTTAGTTAGTTAGTTAGTTAGTTAGTTAGTTAGTTAGTTAGTTAGTTAGTTAGTTAGTTAGTTAGTTAGTTAGTTAGTTAGTAGTTAGTTAGTAGTTAGTTAGTTAGTTAGTTAGTTAGTTAGTTAGTTAGTTAGTTAGTTAGTTAGTTAGTTAGTTAGTTAGTTAGTTAGTTAGTTAGTTAGTTAGTTAGTTAGTTAGTTAGTTAGTTAGTTAGTTAGTTAGTTAGTTAGTTAGTTAGTTAGTTAGTTAGTTAGTTAGTTAGTTAGTTAGTTAGTTAGTTAGTTAGTTAGTTAGTTAGTTAGTTAGTTAGTTAGTTAGTTAGTTAGTTAGTTAGTTAGTTAGTTAGTTAGTTAGTTAGTTAGTTAGTTAGTTAGTTAGTTAGTTAGTTAGTTAGTTAGTTAGTTAGTTAGTTAGTTAGTTAGTTAGTTAGTTAGTTAGTTAGTAGTTAGTTAGTTAGTAGTTAGTTAGTTAGTTAGTTAGTTAGTTAGTTAGTTAGTAGTTAGTTAGTTAGTTAGTTAGTTAGTCAAGGAAGAATTTGTCGTTTAGAAATTCTAGTATAAAAATTAGATTAAGATAGACCCAAAGAAGAAGTATCTGACCTTTAAAATTTTGTTACAACTATTTCCTTGTGTGTTGACAATTTTGATTAAAACTGATCAAAAACTTACCGACAAGGAGTCCTCTCCTACCAAACTACTAGCCACCGCTAAAATATTTGGAGAAGTAAACTTTTCATACAAGGAAGCCGCCTTGGCAAGTATCAACCATTAAAAATAATTCGTTGTAACTAAAAATAATAATAACAATTAGTACATAATTTAGCTTAATTAAAGACAATTACTCACCGTTTCTTTTCCCACATCTGTTCCACAGCATCGGCCAACTCTTGACTAGTAATCTCTTCAGAATCTTGGAATTTCAAGAAACCATCACCACCATGACCAGTTAAATAAATCAAAACATTACTGCCAGCATCTGTCAAGAGTTTCTTAGAACGGGCAGTACCATTTTGGGTACGTCCCGTCAAGAGACGTACAAAATTTTCCACCGTAACCTCATAGCCACGATAATCCACCTCAACATCATCACCATAAACATTAATATGTTGATTGGCATTATTGTATACTTGACCCGGGCGGGGATTACGAGGATTACAGGCCATATCGTCGGCTATCATGAGGATAATCTGGGAGTCGGGTATGCCTAAGCGTTTAACAGATCTGTATATAGATAAAACATTGGCTACATGACGATAGTTGAACCAGAAACGTGATGCATCCACTAGAACAGCCCAATTGTTGGTGTGTGTAGAGCGTTGCACTGATTCTACATATTCAGCGGGGAGTTGTTGAGAGTTCTAGAGGTTAAATTGCGAAAAGATAAAAAACATTTGGCAAAATAAATGGTTTTTCCTTAAAACTTACATCTTGTGCTAAACTTATGGTACAGCTTAATAATAATAAGCTAATTATTAATAAATTTCGCATATTTTCAAGGAATGTGTAAATTTTATTAGAGAAAGAATTATTTTTCCTTATCCGGTGTTTTTTTGTTTATTATCTATCAGCTGTGATTAGAGTCCTGCGCCGACAAACACTAATGTCAACGGCGTCTTAACATCTAAATAGAACTTCTATGTTTTCTGTTGTGTTTTAAAATTTTCAACGTTATTAAAGAGTGGAATTTTGAAGCAAATATTTAAAAAACTGGACTATATATAGACTATATTACAGACTAGACAATAGACTAAATAATAAATTGTAGATTGGAACATACTATGTACTAGAATACACCACTCGTGTAGAGCAGTACTGCTCTATTAACTACTATAGTGTAAATAGTTACCAAAAGTTTATAAGTTAGAAAATGCGATATGAAAAAGTACTAAGGTACTGAATTTTCTATGCTATGGTCAGTAACGATAAAATTTTATTTATATTAGCGGCAAAATTTTTGTCGGCGACAACTTTGAAATTTTTATCTGTATGCTAAGCCGAACCGAAGCAATTCTCTGGCATTAAGTAGAAAGTGATTAAAACTTGGTAACACTTTTTATACGTGAAGTAACAGGGTGTTTAATAAAACTGCATAATATCAAATATAAGGTGTTACCAATCTAAATTGTGGTTTAAAAGGGAGTTACCAGACTAATAATGTATTCATCAGTTATATTTTTTAAATTTAAATGATTATTATAAAAAAATAAGGGATTTTATTCAAAAAAAGTATTAATAATGTTAATTTACTTATTATTTTGAGTACGTAATTTAATATTTAAGGAATTTTGGGGAAAATAATTATATTTTAAAATAAATATTATATTCTTATTATAAATATACGTATTTTAATGTATTGTAATGTATGTATGATAAAACTTATGAAAATTAAGTCCTATTTATATTAAATAAAATTTTTTTAAACATATGTCATTATTAATTTTATTTTAAACTGTCTTTTCATAAAAATTTCTGTACATTTTTTTTTTTTTGTAAATATTTTGTTTTACAAAAAATTTCTTAAAAGGGTAGAAATTAGTTATGTGCACTAAATATGGCCTTGTTGTATTTTTTATAAAATTTAACTTCCTTTGCACCTGTTTGCTTTAGTTTTAATAAAATGTTCAATTTTATGATAACGGATGTACAAATGTCATTCGTGATTACAGCAGATGTACAGGATGTATGTTTCAGGTAAAATGTAATAGAAAATTAAAATTTTTAAAATCTTTTTCGGATTTTTTAATTAAAAACTTTATAATTTAAATTCATATAATAGTTTTAAGAAGTAAAAAGAAGCTAAATTTTGGCTATTTTTATGGGCAGAAAAATTCATGATCATTTTGAAATTATAACGATCACAAGCGAATAAAATTGAGGAAAATGGAGTTTGCTGATTTGGCTTTTATACCATTCAAAAGCCTGAAATATAAGGAAATTCGATTTAAAATATTTACATTTTATTTTCAACAATATGTGTGTTTACCCAACTATTCCCCTGAAGGGTCAAAAGACACAGGTTTTTAATATTTTCACAAATATTAAGAAACTTGGAAAATCTTGTTATTCTAATATGTATTTTATTTTGTAAACAAATCAAACTCATTCAAATGGAAGGTTAAAGGGTCACATACATATGAACTCATTCAATCCATATTAGTAAGTCATGCAAAAATATCTACAAAGTCAAGTGTAAATTTCATTAAATTTTATTTAAGATCTTAAACAAATAGTAAACGTTAACAGTTTATTACAGAATAGAAAACGTTAACAGTTTACTATAGAATAGAAAACGTT